TCTGTTGCTTTTTAAAGTTGTCATTGTTTGGAAATGTCAGATTAAAGAAGATCTTAGAGAAGTCCTGCCTTTTAGTTTGTTCAAGGCTCCACAATGTTAGATCCCCAGGCATTCAAAATAAATCCACGTTTAGAAGTAATGCAAAATTTATTTCAATCAGGAAAATTTGGTTCAATCAGGAACAAGGACATTGTTAGGAATAACTGCAATCGTACTGGGACTACATAATAAAGGAACTTGAACCAGGTAAGGGCCAATTAGCCCCTTTCCCTCTGGCGGGAATAGAACAGAGAACGCGCGCCCAATTCCTTGGGAACGTGACGGTTCTACATTATACACAAGTTCAGTTCTCAGGCAAGCTAACCATAACAGCGAAGCGATACCACGACTCCCACCTCCAGCTGCTCGACCTTGGCCAGTTCCGCAAAGCTACACAGTTGATATAATGAAGCAAAAGGGCACACCGGGGGGGGGCACCGGGGGGGGGGGGGGAATGGGTGGAACAGCTTCTACAGGTAATACCATATACACCAGACACAATGGCAGCTAGCTGACACACACTAATCTTAGCGGGACATTTAAAACAAATGTTTCACAACACAGTCAATGGAAAAACTACTAAATACCTTAATAAGTTTAGCACACTTGGAGAGTGGGAAAACAACCTTTATATTGCATAGCTTTCCAAATTACCCGCTATTTTTGTTTCCATTTCTTAAGTAGAAAGTTTTCAGAGTACAAATTAGTTCTGTTTGCAATCGCCTGAAGTGTTAATTCTGTTGCCTAGTTGCCCTTAATTTCCAACTTTCCGCACTCTGAAAATCATTCCCACTAGCAGCAGGATTCCTTCTTGTGAAAAAATTGTAAACAGAACTACACCATTTTAAGTTAATTCAAGTGAGTGGGCCTAGAAGGAAGTAACCCTGCTTAAGACAGCACTGTAAGTCGACACATGCATAGCAGCCTTTCTTAATAGTTATGCAGTGGTAATAAAGTCATTGGAACCAACTGGGTTTTTTTTCCATTTTAAGTTGTTCCACATTCTTGCCAAAAGCTGGATTGTTTGTAGTCCTGTGTAAAGTACAAGTTGGGAAGTATTGAATTGAATGTTTTATACCTGATCCTTGCCCTGTGAAGTGATTTTGTAATTCAGAATCCAAAGAGGAAATAAAATAGCATTGTCCAACTCCTCCAGCATCCCCATCAAAAATGCAATATGGGTCACTCACAGGACTCAACAAACCAAACTTCCTCGTCATCAGAATTATCTGAATCGGAGAAAGGAGAAGCCGCTCCCAAACTGCAGAAAACGAAGAAATCTAAGAAGAAAAGACTCTAAAACTAAAGCATGAGTGCTAAGGGCAGTAATTGTGCCAAGCTAATAACTTTATACTTTTTATAATCGAACTAATCTCTGTATAACTTGTACTAATAGGTTAAAAAGGTCTATTTTAAAGCTTTTTTAGATCGTTATTTGTATTAGTCTTTACCCCTTCCCCATATCCAGTAGGAAATTTAGAATAGAATGGTAGTTTTTCCTCCCCTTATCCAGTAGATTATATGTATTTAGACTTCCCTGACCCATTTCCCATAGTAATAGTGATAGGGCATTAGTACTCCTTTCCCCATTCCATATATATGTAGTGTGTAGAAAATGCAAAATAAAAAAATTCCCCTTCGGGGGACCCAAAAAAAATGCAATATGGTCAAATGGTGTCCACGTAGTAATCAAATGAATCTGTTTCAAAACACAGGCAGCTCAATTAGGTTCTGTAAAATGAAATAAACGGGAAACACAGCCTAAGAGCTAAATACACAAACACACCACTGTGTGAAAAGACATCTTCTACGTGGTCTCTGTGCTTCACACCCATGGGATTCAGTGTGCATGCGCTGGATCGATCGGTGCTGTAGCAAGCTCTTTTAACGGATTTTTGCGCCCAGTCCCTCGGGCATGCGCAGGAACCCCACCGTGCATGCCCGGGGGTGGGGGGACGGACATCCCGCCAGTTCCTTTCTTACCGCCACGTTGAGTAGGTCAGATCAGTTCGCTTGTGGCTCTTCACCTCAGCTCTTCAGAATTATTTTCTTATTCTATTTTTCTTTTTTAGTTGTTTGTTCTTCAAAAAAGCTTTAAAAATTATTTGTTTGTGAGGGGGAGTCTACCAATTACCTCAGGCCTTCGGGCTACCGCCTCCCCTCAACGTTCCCTCTTCTTCGCTTCTTTTATGGAAAAGAAGTGGGGCTTTTTCAACAGGTGTAGGGGTTGCGGCAGCAAACTTGCTCCTCCCGACTGTCATACCCTCTGCATTTTTTGCCTCAGAGAGTCTCACCAGCCAGAGTCCTGTCGTCACTGTGCTCGTTTCTCCAATCAAACACGAAAAAAACGTGCTGCACGCCTTAAAGTGGCGCTGCTTGAATCAGCCCTTACTCCTGCCTCAGCGATGGAGGAGAGACCATCTACATCGACAGCTCCGACATCGAGGCCTGCCTCCAATGTCGACCGCCCGACACCAAAGTTCCCGACATCGAAGGTGAAATCTTCCACTTCCATGCCAGTCAAAAAGGCTAAGGCAAGTAAGGATCACAAGTCCGTGAAGAAGGGCACCACCAAGTCCCTTAAGGCGGCGAAGGTGGTCATCTGTGCATTCAAACCACCCGCCCTCCTTCCCCACTGCTGTCAGCTTCTACATTTTTAATAGGGGTTGATTTGCGGCGGTTTGAAGGAACTGGTGGGATGTCCGCACCCACCCCTCTGTGCATGTGCGGTGGGGTTCCTGCGCATGCCCGAGGGACTGGGTGCGAAAATCCGTTAAAAGAGCTTGCTACACCACCAGTCAATCCAGCGTGTGTGCACTGAATCCCATGGGTGTGAATGCACTGATGACCACTCGAAGATCACCAGTTACTGGTAAGCAACCTGCTTTTTGCCAAACATCAAATGAATCTTATTGCACCATTTTCAATGAATGTATGTTATATAAAAAAGATTACTTTTTGAAAATGGTGGCTACTCAGCTCAGTAAATGTACAAACATTTCAACCAACCATATAATATGAAAACTTCATAGAAAAAGCAGCTAATCAACTCAGCAGCGATCTAGCCTTGAAGTCCAACAATCTTGGCTCCACTGTGCAACTCTGCAGCTAGAGACCCGGCAAACTTGGCATATGTATTGACTTGCCAGTAATTAAACTTTGAAGGACTGCTGTCTAATTGTTGAACATTAATGGCGTGATATGTGCTTTAAAAGTTACAAGATGTTTTGTGCCAACTTTGTGAAGTTTTTCTCCTGTTATCTGAAGAACTGTTTTGGCTTGTGATAAAGGCTACAGCCGAAACGAGGAACTTCAGGTGCCTTTTCCCATTGCCAAGTTTGCCGGGTCTCTAGCTGCAGAGTTGCACAGCAGAGCCAAGACTGTTGGACTTCAAGGCTAGATCTATAAATTGCTGCTGAGCTGATTAGTTGGCTTTTTCTATGAAGTTTTAATATTGTATGGTTGGTTGACGGTTGGTTACAATATTGTTTGTACATTTACTGAGCTGATTAGCCACCATTATCAAGAAGTAATAAGTCTTTTTAATATAACGCACATTTATTGAATGGTGCAATAAGATTTATTTGATGTTTGGCAAAGCCTTTTTACACAGTGGTCTGGTTTTTGCAGTTAGATTGTGACAGGTGTGCAATCTGACACTAATTTCAAGTTCAAAATGGTATCTTTTTTAATGTGCCACCCTGGCTTGCAGAATAACAATTGCAATAAATGCAAGATAATCATCTGTTCCATTAGTTTTATGTCTTGAAAGAGCAATTACAGCAGAATCTTCACATGCAGAATGAACCTAGCTCACCTCCAGAGTGTACCTTAGCTGATTCCCCACCCTCTATCTTGTCCATCCATGAACAAGATTGCCTTCTTAAAATGTTTTTGAAATACCACATGCACTTTTATGTGAGTTTACTCCTGTCTCACAATGAAAAAACAAATCACATATGTTGAAAATAAAGTTGCAGTGCTGTTCCAGAGAATGTGGTAGATTTTGTTAGGTCTCAGGACCCAGTAAATAAGACTCCCTCCACAGAAGGTCTGCACTACTCAAATTCAGATCCATAGAATACAAACAGCTCACATTGGAAACTGTGTGCATTTATACAGAAGCAAAATTGCTTCCAACATTCTCAAAACAGTACCTTTGTATATAACCTAAAGTGGCAATCCTATTCATACCACAAGCTAATATTAACAAAAAGCTAATGAAGTTGCGGTGGCTGAGTGGTTAAGACACTGAACTGCAGGCTGGAAGGTTGGTAAATCAGTAGTTCGAGACCCAAGTGCTGCAAGACGGAGTGAGCTCCCGTCTCTGGTTCCAGCTCCTGCCAACCTAGCAGTTCAAAAGCAAGACATTGCAAGTAGATAAATAGGTACCACTTCGGTGGGAAGGTAACAGTGTTCCGTGCACCTCAGCATCTAGTCATGCTGGCCACATAACCATGGAGACATCTTCAGACAGCGCTGGCTCTTCAGCTTGGAAATGGAGATGAGCACCGCAACCCTAGAGTTGGATTCGACTGGCTTTCAAGCAAGGGAACCTTTACCCTAATTAAGCTGCAAAATTGCTCCCGGGCCATACCACTTCAGACTGCAGGTTGAGGGGGTGGGGGTGGGGATCTTATGGTCATATTCTGTCATGTAAAAAAACAATTATGCCCATGGAAAACTAGATGCCAGAGAGGGGGGAGTCTAGTTATGCTAGCTTTCTACATGTAGTAATGCCCCCACCATGGAAGAATCTTTCATCTGTTTAGTTCCCTAGCTGTGTAGCCTGAATATAGTCCAGGAACAATTTTACTAACTCATTGTCTGTTTGTATGAACTAAACCTTTTACATTTAAGCTACACCAGGAACACACAAGGACTCCAAGCATTGTTGAAAAATTTATTACATATCAGAATTCTAACATTCTTACAAAAACATACTTTACAAAGTTCCACAGGTGAAATGGGCAGTTGTCAGTATTGATCAGTACTATTAATTACCATACCATTAAGCTACTGAATTAGTATTAAGGCTCATAAATGTAAAAAGCCAACTGAATTTTTTTTAACATTTATCATTTCTAATAAGTGTCTCCAAATTCAGTCCTAGTCAACTATATTAATAGCATGCTTTTCAGTAGATGTTACTAAACTATCCAACTTTTACCATTTTTTAAATAGCCCAAGTAATTGCTGTTGATTTTTTACCATCTTCTACATCAGTTACACCACGTGAGAACTCCCAGAATCTTAATCAAAACTTAAGCAATACAGATGCCTTTATATGTTGATAAACATTTTGTCAAATATTTCCTTCACTAGATCTGTTCCAAAATACAATCTAACATGTCTTAGAAATGTAAGATTAAACTAGACAGATTTGCTATCTGCCAGCATTTGAAGTAGTTCGCGTTGTCTAAAGAATAACCTGAAACAGATGCCTTGTGTTTGGTGTTGGGATGAGACAGCTTGGTGGCTGTCACTTCAAGTTTCTCAGGCATACAACACTTTTCGGTCAACTACCGAATTTAACTGCTGCTTTGTGGCCGTGGTTTCTTCAGATGCACCTCGCACACGCAACTAGTTGGTGAGTGCCAGAGGATAGATCCTTAATTAGAAATTGCTCACCAAAACATAGGGGATGGTCCCTGCGCTTGCAGAGGTTAGAAAAGAAGGTTAAGTCCTCTTGCCCCGCCCTGCCCCACCCCCTTTCCCTCTCCTCACAGAACTGAGGCCTCCTTACAACCTGGTCCAGGAAAGAACCTGACTGGTATCACTCATCATGGAATCTGATCTTTGGATTATTGATCTTATATCTGCTATTAGTACTGAATATATATTTTTAAAAACATGGATGGAAGGTGCTGCTGCTGTTTGGACTAAGGCACTACTAACAGTCGTTTGCAGGTTGCTCCCAATATCTTTGGCTTAAAACACATTGCTGCTCTAAAAGATCTGGTACACAATTCCTCACACTTCTTCTTTACTTCAGTTTCCAAAAGAAAAAAAGTGAAAACATTTTGTCACAATTACCAAATGTTTTTAAAATCCAAAAGAATTTATTTTCTTTACCAGATGCTTAAAATGTAATCAAGAACATGCAAATGAATAGGAAGAAAAATGGCAAAAAGGAGGCTTGGCTTTAGCTTCCATGGATATGTTTATTTCACAGGAATTACTGTGATTAAAAAATTCTTTATCCAACTTCCAGAAAAGGGAAGCCCTTTATTTGTAACATTATAATAACTGCTGTAGGTGACCTTATTGCATCTCTGGTGAAATAGGGACTAAACAGCATAGCAACATTTTTGAACCCCTATCATGTGAATTCTGTTTTTAACAAAGAAAACAAATGTTTGTTTTCTTTGTTCTCATCTACTCTGTGTGTACTTATTATTTTTAAACTGCTCAGTCTGTATGCAAATAGGTAGATAAACCATGCTTGAAAGGAGCATGTATTAAATGGGTTAAAACAAAGTTATGGCAAAATAAACCACCAATCTTTCCACCATTTTGTAAATTCCTGGCAATACAGGGTTTCATACAATTGAATTGTTGCCTATATTCCAAAGCATAATTTTGCATTTAATGCCAGAAACTTGGTGAGCTGCTTCTAGATCTTGCAAGCCCACAGTGAAAAATCTTCCAAGGATTAGTCAAGAAGCCTGATATATGGCAGAGACTGAGATGATATGTAAAAACACTATCCATTTCATAGGCAACTATCTCTGAAAGTAAGGCAAGGCACAGGTTTATTGAATATATTCCACCAGTTGAAAAACAAGCACATCTTAAGCATTCTGATAGTGTCAATAATGGTATCCTTTTCACAAAAATATATGTGCAAGTGTAAAAACAAGGCTATTTTTTTCATAACAAATCGTAAGAAATATTCAGATTTAAAAATCAAATGAGTTTTCTATTATTTGTGTAGAAAAATCTTGATACATTATTTTGGGTGATCAGTTACTCTCCTCCACATTGTTCACTGGATAGTGTGGAGTTTTCTTCAGTAGCAGCAAAATCCCCAGGGTCCATCACCTGAATGTAAAACAACAACATTTTAAAGTATGTTTACTCTTGCCAGCCCACTTACAAGAATGATGATGTCAGAGTAACAAGCTATCAAAACTGAGTTCAGATATCACAGCAAAGTAAGCTTCTATGACATTAAGGAAACATAACAAAACAATCCGTCACAAGCTGTAAACCAGCAACATGAAAAAACACACAAGCTAGCGGATTGTTTTCCCAATGGGTTTTGCTTTCAGCAGCTCTTCTGTCAAACCTGTAAACTTGGAGGAGGGGAGGGAAGTATAGTTCTGTGAGCAAGCCAGGAATCTCCAAGAGAAAGTTATCAGCTCCTTCACTCACTATTTGTAGGATTCTTTAGGGGAAAAGACATGGCAGTAGAAATTGCATAAAACCAGTAATAGTATAGTGCAGGAAGGTCCCACAGTTTCAGAGGCTGGTGAGGTGGGTTTTTTAAGCAAAATAGTCTTCAGCAGAGGAAATCTGACAAAAATCAGACCACTGGTCCATCAAGGTTAGTATTATCTACCGAGACTGGCAGCAGCTCTCCAGAGTCTTAGGTTCAGGTCATTCACATCACCAACTACCTGATTCTTTTAACTGGAGATGCTGGGGATTGAACCTTGGACCTTCTGCATGCCAAGCAGATGCTCTACAACTGATCCATTTCCCTTGAATGCAAGCAGCTGTAGGTTCTCCAAAGTGCCCCATGTGTTCCCTTAAAAGACAATTTCAGGTGGGTAGCTGAGTTGATCTGCAGTAGAAAAGCATCTTGCTCTTCACGTGTGCAAACAAGGCTATCTCCAACCACCACCCCTGTTCTGCTCATGCATGCCAGATTACAGATTAGGGCTTTCTGGCAATTTTTTCTTTTTGGATATGGAATTGTAGGCCCATGATATACATAAAATTTTGCTATAAGTGGATAAAAAAGAAAATTGTGATGTCCTTCCTTACAGCTGATAATCACATCAAACAAAATCACTGTTATTCTAAAGGGGCTCCCAACCTTTTTGAGCCTTCACGCACTTTTGAAATTCTGACCCAGCATGGTGGACCCAGCCACAAAATGGCTGCTATAAAATGGTTGCTGCAGGAGGTGGAGCCAGCCACAAAATGATTGGCGTAGCTTTACTTCAGTCACACAGTAGTTTCTTGTTCTGTAGTGGCAGCTGTTGCCAAAGCAATATTAAAAAAACGTGCACAGCCCATCAAATCTCCAATAGCCAATCAGAAGCCTTGCTGGGCAAAAGCCCTACCTGGCCCCACCCGCTTTCTAAAAACACTTGGTGAGTGCCAGAAAAGGTGTTGGCGGATGCCATGGCACCTATAGGCACCACACTGGGACCCCAATCCAAAGTATAGACAGAATATGCAGTTCACATATTGTGCCATCATGCTTAAAACTCCTTCGGTTTGACATTATTGAATACAGAAAGGTGCTCACCAAGCTGTCCAATTCCCAAGTCAATGGCTAATAGTTTAGAGCTGGAAAAAACACTACGGATTAAAAACAAAAACAAACCCCGCCCGACTCCCCTAGAAGTAAATATGGGTCATCATTTTTCTTTCAGTGGGCAAATGTCTACTCAAAACTAATGGGAAAGAAAAACAACCAAGAATGATTTCATGCAAAGGGCTTGCTGCATGGTCTATTAATACATTTACCAGGAAGTCTGTAAGCAAGAAGGAAAAACGAACAAACCAGAGTAAACATCTGGTTAGATTCAGTAGTTTGACATTAACATGAAATTGTAAGGTGCCACTGTGAATGCTTGGGCTCTGAGCAGCCTGGCTTCTTATTCCTTTGCCACCCTGGCAGAGTGATCCCAGTGCTTCAAGGGTGTCATCCAGACTGAGCTCTCAGTCAACAGATCCCAAGGGGCAATCCCAGCCCATCAGGCCCGATAAAGCTCTAGCCTCAGGGCTTACTCCAACCCATCTCTTGGGTGACGTTGTTTCCTGGCTACAGCTCCTGTGCCTCTCTTTCTGCCCTGGAGACTCCTACCGCTGCCTGATTCAGACTACGCACCTTTGTCTGGCCCTTTCGATCTTCAAAAGCCTCCTGGGACCTCGACCCCTGACTGTCTTTTGGTTACACTGCTGCTGCAAGCTCTTCCTCAGTGTATGAACCTGACTGATTGTGGCTTTCCTGACAAAAAATAAAAGCCATTTAGGTTAACTATACTTGTGAGATAGGCATGATCCAAGATTTTACTTGTATTTGGGATTTTATTTTTTATTTTTTTAAACTGTGATGCTTAAAAGTAGCCTATGCCAACCATCATTTACTTTGGAAGCCAAGCAAGTATGTTTAATGAGTCCAGCATTTTCCTGCCTGCCGTGATTCATACCGTTATTAAACAAGAAGAGAAAGGTATAAAAACAGAGTGGACTTGCGTCATATTCTGCATTCAGGGCTAAACCACACTAGTCTCAGGGGTCGGTGCTGAGCGTGAACAGGCTTAGCCTGCAGCTGCGTGGTTCAGTGTACTCCCTGGTCTAAAAGAGAGTTAAATTTAGCACCATTCAGAATATTAACTGTGGCTCCTGGCCCTAAAAACAGGTAAACACAGCTGCATCTTGAATTCTTACTATCCAGCCCTGTCTTTGCCCTTTGTTAGTACCAACATCACCAATTGACTGATTTTTCTTGTTTCCTCTGTCAAAAGGCAGTGTGACATTGCATTACACATTACATACTGCATCATCTCTCCTTGTCTAAACTAGGGGGTGAGGAAAGTCCTGCAAAGGGCATCCACAAGAACAGCTGCATGTAAGCTGCTTTAAGGACTTGCAGTCAGTATAGGTGCTGAGACGCTTCTTTCCACGTGAAATAGTAAAAAGCCCAGTAGCACCTTTAAGACTAACAAACTTTATTGTAGCATAAGCTTTCGAGAAACACAGCTCTCTTCAGCAGATGCATCGAGGGTATGGAGAAACTGGCCAGATGTACTCCATGCATCTGACGAAGAAAGCTGTGTTTCTCAAACGTTTATGCTACAATAAAGTCTATTCTCTTAAAGGTGCTACTGAGCTTTTTACTATTTTGCAGCAACAGACTAACACAGCTACCTTCTTTCCATGTAACAAACGTAGCCTTTTCCATGTGGGTTTTCCCCCCCACAGGATCATGCCACATTTGTGTACCTCTCAGGTTTTCCCCAGTTTTTCTCTGATCCTTCTGGAACCTGCTTTGCTCTGAAGTTTTGGGAAAGACTGCAGCCAAGTTTGGATGGCTTCCCTGTAGATAGGAAAGTTTGGGTTTTCCTGCTCCTGCCCACACAGCAGCCATTTTTTTTGCCCCAGTCCCCATGGTGGGCATCCCCCCTTCCAAAGGGGCTTTTATTTATTTTTTAATTTTGGTCGTTTAACTAGTAACTGAATATCATTATAACAATCTGTATCTGGTTCTCTAAATCCCCAGCTATCATTTTTTAAATAAAAGTAAGACTCTAACCTCTTTTGGTGTGGAACTATAATTTCATATCTCCACAGTGAAAGAGGATATAGATTAACTTTTTTTAAAATGACAGTTGGGAATTCAGAGAACCTGAGATACAAATTGTCATAACCATTAAGGTAAAGGTTCCCTTGCTCGAAAGCCAGTCAAGTCTGACTCTCATCTCTGTTTCAAAGCCGAAGAGCCAGTGCTGTCCGAAGACGTTTCCGTTGTCATGTGGCCGGCATGACTAGACGCCAAGGTGCACGGAACGCTGTTACCTTCCCACCGAAGTGGTACCTATTTATCTACTTGCAATTTCTTGCTTTCGAACTGCTAGGTTGGCAGGAGCTGGAACTAGAGACGGGAGCTCACTCCGTCATGCGGCACACTCGGGTCTCGAACTGCTGAACTACTGACCTTCCACAGCCTGCAGTTCAGCATCTTAACCACTTGAGCCACCGTAGCTCCCTGTCATAACCATACTCAACTGCCAATTCAAAAACTCCCCAAAACCTTGGGAAAGCTTTGGTGGCATGGTGGGTGGCCTCTGCCAGGAAACGGGGGCAGGGAAGATGAGGGAATCCTGTCATGTAGTAGCCCTGATGCCACTGTGATATATTGGCAGCAACAACAGGGAAACCACCATACAAGGCTGCCCCCATGTGGAAACAGGCATTAAGAGGCAAAACTACAAACGGGCTGGCTTGCCAGAACTTAATATCCTTTTGTGTGGATATTATATATAATGTTAAAGTCCAACATTAAAAGCCTGTACTTGACTGTCATGCTTGCCACATGTAGGCAAATATGGCCTCTCCTAATCACTCTTGCCTCCCCATTTGGTATAGTGGTTAAGACCGGTGGACTCTAATCTGGAAAATGAGGTTTGATTCCCCACTCCTCCACATGAAAGCCAGCTGGGTGACCTTGGGTCAATCACAGTTCTCTCAGAGCTTTCTCTCAAGAGCAGTTCTGTTAGAGCTCTTTCAACCCCATCTACCTCACAGGGTGTCTGTTGTGGGGGGAGGAAGGGAAGGAGATTGTAAGCTACTCTGAGTGAAGGGTGGGGTATAAATCCAACTCTTCTTCTCCCCCCCCACTGAATCAGCCCATTCTTCACAGCACAAAACATAACATACTTGCCAAAGCAAGATTTGTAATCAAATATGGCTCAGATGGATTTGTTAATCTTTTCAAAACTCTGCCTGTCTGCCAAATATATTTGTATGATCAGGCCATTTACCATCCAGTCCTAAGGAGAGGCATTGATAACAGCCATTTTAAAGCTGTGCAGAAAGAAGATAACACACAAGTAGCTAGAGAGACACTTTCTGACAGAAATTAGTTCCCTGCTCTGTGGATGGAGGATATACTTTGATGGCAAGGACAGCCCTACCATACAAGTTCAGTACACATAGTGCTTACAGAGATAAATACTTCTCTGCTCTCATTTAAAAAGTCGAATCTGACGCCACACTGGCATGTTATCTAATGTCACTGGACTCTCATACTGGCAAGACACAGCACAGGGCATCCTGAAAGTCATGCTGACAACTTAGGTCAAAAATAAACAAAGGTAAGCTAGTAATAAAGACAGGAGAGCTGAACATTAAAATGGGCCATAATTTTTAGTTGGTTAGTTGGTAGTGCCAACTAGCAAACACATAGAAGTTTATGGGATGGGTGTATGCGTTTTGCTTGCATTTTTGCTCTGTCATGAGATGCATCAAGAATGGTACCAAAATGGTGCCAGGTTTTCCAACTACCTGAACACCCCTGCAACTATTTTGCGGGGGGGGGGGGCTTTCCCCGCCTTGCTCTGCTCTTTGGACCTTAGCTGCTATGATGGACTACATTTAAAATGATGTTTCCCTAATGCAGCAAAATCAGAGAAGGGAGGTGAATAGTTAACTCTGCTCTAGAATGTTGAGCTTGAGTGACAGGCCGCTCCTTTTCTCTGATTGGCCAGCGTCAGCTGGGGGAAATATAAAACCAGCTGTGTGCTGAGGGAAGAGTGAGTTCGTTTTGAGTCCAGTGGCAGTTACTATTCAGTAAAGAAAAAGTTCAGTTACAGGAGTGGATATCTGAAGACTGTCATACAGGTTCACCTTTTGAATACAGGGAGAGACTCCTGGTCCTAGCTGTGTTAAACATAACCTGAGAAATATTACCATCTAAGAATTCAGAGTCTAGTGTCAGCTTACGCTGAAGTATATTTTCACACAGACACCAAGAACTGGGGTTTGAGATTTTGGTAAAGATTGACTGGGTAGCAGGCTGAAGCTCCCAATCAAGCCAAAAGGAATAGGATTGTGTTTTCAGGGAAGAAATAGAAGTCCTGTCCAGTTGTACAGGGAATTGGCACTGAGGCAGTCCCTGGTCTGTTGTGAGAGGAAACAAGTATAGACTACTCAGGGGAAAGAAAACACATTGTGATTTCAGAAAATGGGAAAGAATGTGATACACTAAAAGAGTGACCTTTCCAGAAAAACAAAAGTTATTAGGAAACTATACGCAGAAACATTGTAACTGAAACCAAAGTACTTAGTCAACCATCTCTCACTGATAAGAACCAAGAATTTGTGAAAATCTGCTTCAACACCATCTTGTCTGTCAACTGAAATATATACTGTTTTACCACCATTTACCTCAGCCTTTCCAATTCCTGACTACCCCATACCATCCCTGCCTATTGAATAAAATCTTTATTATTGTTCACTGTTACATAGTCTCCAGTGCCATTTCAAGGGATCTGTTTTCTCCTGACAAGTTCCTGAGCTGGGCAAAAGCCAAATTAGATTCTGTCAAAGGGTGGGACATTTCAGATTTATAAAGCCGCAGATATTATTACACTACTGGGGGCCAGCTCAGCACCTGAAGGGAACTAAGAATTTTGGCAAGGAAAATCTGCCTCACAGTGAAGGAGGAGGAGGAGTCTGTCATAGTTGCGTTTGCCCCGGACCTCTCCAGACCTCAAGCCCAGGATTTCAGGTTGTATGTCATTCCCCTAAAACATCCCAATTTCCTCCTCCCTTTTATAAGTGTGCCCTTTTGTTGGGGTGAGTGTGTGATACTTAGAGAATTAGTTCTCAGGTGCTTAGCGTAGGTTCTTTACACTTTTACTTCTTTTACTTTGTATACAATAAAGCTGTTTGTTTGTGGGTTTTTTAAAAAAAAACAATGGTACCAAAACAAACAAGAAATTTTCTAAGCAACAGCCGTCTGTAAAACCTCAGGTGTCACATGAGTATTCCTTCGCATTTGATCCAATGCTGCTAGGAACATGCAAAGACACTCTCAGCTAGCCTTAACTGTGCTGCTGCTAGCTGTATGAAATAGCACAAGATGGACACAGCAAAGCCGTTACAGACAACGACGTATGACCAACAAATTCTCAGTACCATTTCCAGTTATATCTTGTCTTATGTCGAATGATTCTCAAAGCGGCTACCAATAGTTTTGAAAACATAGCAGTACCATTAAAAAACATAAATCCCATATTAGAAGTATCCATCATGTTTGCTCATAACCTGTGTCAATGAAAAAACAAAGAGCTAGTGTAATGGAGTGGTCAGAGTGTCAGACTAGATCTGGGAGACCCAAGTCTGGATCCCCAACTCTGCCATGGGAGCTCACTGGGGGGCCTGGGGCCAGCCACACACACTCTGCCCAACCCACCCTCAAATGGTGGTTGTGAGGATAAAATGGAGGAGAGGAGAACAAGGCAAGCTACTCTGGATGCTCAATGGGGAGAAAGGCGGGGTACAAATCATGTAACCACCACAAATAAATAAATAGAACCACCTTTATTCTCCCTTTAGCTGGATTAATTTCAAACAAAACTGTTGACCCTCACACACACACACCCACACACCGCTTTTACGAATACACCAGACTGAAAGATCCACTGTATTAGTAGCAGTGGGTTTACGCAGGAAAATACTGAGCCATGTAAAAATTCATAAGTGCAAATGAATGGGATAAAGTATAATTAAAAGAACAGTTCTTGAAGCTGGGCATGAATTTAAATAATCTAATTAATCTGTGCACAATACCTGAAGTGCAATCATATTCCCAACTTGTGAGTTTTAATTTTCATTCCAAACTAAGTAAAGCTGACACAAGGGTCCAAAGTTCAAAGCAATTTTTAATCCTTAAAAAAAGGAATGCATTGAAAACAGCATATGAAATAATTACCATGGCAACGAAATACTTGCAAATAATGAACCTTGTCACTTGAGGTATGAGTGGCCTTTTGTTAGCGAAAAATTAAGACTGAAGTATTTAGAGCAACTCTGGTAGCAAACAAAGGCAAAAACTTTATGCAGAAATATTTCATGCTTCAATAGTTTCTGAGACACACTGGCTTAAAGCCTCACACTCAAGAAAGCAGTCACAGAAGCCAGAGAAGAGGTACAAACTGCACACTGGAAGAAGCTGAAGTTCTTTAGCTGCCATTAGAACCTACATATATCAACTGGGACTCCTCCAAATCCTCATCAGAAGCATCTACTTAGTTCCACTGCACCAAGGAGGTGGGCTCTTCAGCAACCCTAACATCACACCAACCAACCCAATATTCTCTCTCTGCATTACATCGGAGACTATGCAAAATCTGATTTAATGTGGGCAGTTCAGTTGATAATGCTCTGCCTCTTGGTTCTGTGAATTAAGGCTAAATAAATGAAGAAGCAGGATTATATGAGTCTGTCATATGTACATAATACCAAAAAAAAATCAAAATGTTCACTAAGGAAATCCTTATTCCGTACTGATGAGTAATCTATAAACTCAGTAGCCAGGTATGGCTTTCCAATGTAGATTTTAAAAACTGCACATTAGAACTATATAGACGCACAACACAGGTTTGCAGAAAAATGCTTAAAAAGTGTGGAGGGGATACCAAAAAGTGTACAAGTGATATGTGCACATGTACAGACATTGCTGAAAGAGTTCTTTCACACTCATATCTCTCGAGAACACCTCAAGAGAACTCAGTTGTGATTTTGTGCTGCTCCACTGTGAGCGGTTACTTCCCAGCCAATAAACAACATGGCCTCAAAAGGAGGAGGTGGTGGTGGTGAGTAGGGGAAAATTTATTTATTTACTTACTTCGATTTATACTTCGACTTATTTACTTTGATTTATACCTCAGGGTGGGGTATAAATCGAATAAAATAAATAAGTAATTTCCCCCCTACTCACCACCACCTCCTCCTCCTTTTGAGGCCATGTTGGCTGGAGTAAAGTGGGGGGAGATATGATCAGGCAGGAAGATCAGGCAAGTGGGCAATCATGAGAGGGAAAGAACTTAAGAGGTGCCTTGCTAGATTAGACCACTATCTTGTTTCACACAGTGACTTACCAGTTGCCTTGGAGGGCTAACAAACAGAACGAAAGACTGAGCAAATGGGGGGGAGGGGAAGCAGAGAGGAAAAATGGAGCTGGAGCTAGAAAGAGGTTAAGTGGAGAGGTTAATGGTTCTCCCCACCCACACATGTCCTCCTTGTCCTACCAATTTCCTTATAACTGCCTGCATTTCCTTTGACCTTCCCAAGGTTCAGATTCTGAAAACTATTTTGGCATGAGTGGGTCAACAAAGGGACAAGAACGAAGAAACTGAAAAGGGGGGGGCGGAAAGGGAAGGAACATTAATGGGAATCACCACAGTATTTCAGGAAGGTGTATGGGTCACTGAAATATAATAGTTTGATCAGTAGAAGCTCTATCCAGCCATTCCCTTACTAAGACCATGTGCTGAAGAACAGATCTTTCGTTATGCTTGGAAAACACTGAGAAGTTTGGTGGGTAAATATAAGTTCAAGCATCCACCAGAAATTGATCACTTCTTTTACATGCAACCACTACACTTGACTGATGAACACACATAAAAATTTAACTCAGACTAGGGACCAGAGAAATGCTACCATATTTTTTAACAAACTCAGTTTATATATGAAGCCCAATGCAGTGCAGACTCTTTGGCTTAATTCTCACTTCAGATGATAAACCTGGGTCTTGCCTGTACCACTACAGACTGATTTGGCAGGGAAGGGCTCATATAATCAAGTCTTTCATTTAAAAATCCTCTGTCTGCTAGAGTGTCTCCCAGACATGCTCATTTTCTCACATACAGCAAGTTACAGACCCCTCGCCAGCAGTCTGAAGTTGCACAGCCCACCACCTCAGTGGGCTTTAGGCCTTTTTCGTTTTCTTAACAGGGAACAAAATCTGCTCACATGTGGCTGCAGTGGTTCCAGAAAAAGTGTGTGTGTGGGGGGGGATGCAAAATGTTGTTGTTGTTGTTGTTTTTACAAAACTCACATTAGTGCTAAAGAGTGCCGGGTTTTCCAACCTATACAAGATCAAAAGATTTCATACCCTCCTGTAACCAAAAAGTTGGATCACTGATTTTGCGTCATTTATTTTCCAAGAGTCCATATTCTTGAGTAAACACTAAAATACAAGTGTGAATTCAACAGCTATTAGTTTACCACATTTGTGTGGAGACTGACTGTACTCCGTTTACCTGATAACTGTTGCCTTCCCAGAACTTTTTCATCTCTTTGCGCTTCCAGGCCACTAGAGCGCTGGTGACAAGGATGCACGGCACCAAGTACAGAAGGGCTGGTTGCGCCATCTTCATCAGTGACAGAACCACAAACGTGAGCAACATGCCAACAGCATAGGCTGCAACAAAGACAAACAACAAGAATATACTAAATGACATACAGCTTTATGCTCATTGGTATTGTCATAAGCATATCAGCATTGTCAAAAAAATTGTGTTATTAGTGCTGTTTACCTACAGAGCAGGAAATATAGTACACTGAGGAAGAGCTTGTCTGAACATCAAACCTGTGACAATAGGCCACCAGAAGACCTAAAATAAAAAGGTACAAACATTATTTGACAGGTAGTCTATAGAGACTACGGGAGCAATCATAAGCAGGTCTACTCAGAAATAAGCCCCATTTTATTCCTCCTCAAAAAGTATTCTGAGGGCTGTAACCTAAGAGTGCAGTCCTGAGTGGAGTTACACTCTTTTAACCTCACTGACTTTATTGGACTTTAAAAGGTTGTAACTCTGCTTAGGGCTGTACAGTCAATGTCATTGAGCTCACACATACAGGATTAGGCAGCATATGTGAAAATCTAGCCATTGTTGTCTTTTAGAAGAAAATCTCATTGAAACCCAAAGAACTTACTTCTGACTGGATATGCTTAAAATCTGGGTGCTGCACTCTGTGCTCAAGTCGCACCTTAATGGAAAAGCACCCGTGGAGTGACAACTTAAAATGCTGAAGTTAGACCCAAGTTCATTCTGCACTGACAGTTTACTCCAGAGAATCCGAGCAGTCATTAAAGCCTGACTTGGGATTTTCATCTGCACTGTTCCCCCGCCCCCCTCCGATTTATTTATTGTGAATTCTGTGTATGCATTCTGCATCCACAACCAAAACCCACATTTTTTTTTTTGCTTAATCAGGGTGAGCACGTGACTTGTGACATGTGGGTGTGGCATCCAAATTACCCTATTGCAGCCGTGTGAGCGACACCTTTCCCCTTCACAGGGCTGGCCTCCTTCGGCCCTCCCTCCGCCTTGTTTCTAACAACTTGTAAAAGTTCCTGAGGGAAAGGTAGGGCAGCAGGAGTCTGCAAGCTTCACACACTATTCTACAAATAAAAAACAATCCCCCTATATAAGTATATAAGTAACTCAGGCGCTGTCAGCTATGCTGCCATATTATTTATAGGCCTAGAGTTAACCTGCCTGACCTGTGTACATTTGGTGCCACATTCCTTTCTTCTTGCTTCTCCCCTTGTTATCTCTGACCTTGTACTCCTGCCTGTGTAGTGTCTCCACTTTAATTAACCCTGAGACTAGTTTCTCAACCTAGGATCGGTTACCCTTTCCCGCCCACGGGAAAAGGGGCGATTGGCCTACAGGTGGTGGTGGGGGGACTTTTGAATCTGCAATATTATTGTATGCTTGTTCCTTGCTAGACATTCCTAACAGTGACCATGTTACTGCAACCATAGTCTATATATATTTTTTTATTTATTGCATTAGCAAAAAAGCCATAGCAACAGAACAGGATAAAAACATGTGACCAACACTAAATCCAAGCAAGTAATAACAAATCAGTCAGTTTTTGCAAAGATAAAACAAAAATCGAAATCATAAAAAAAAACCCACACTTAAAATTGTCAACTTAGTAAATACACAATTTGTTTTCCTAATCACTGCTGCTAAGAAGGAAGCCACTATAACCTTGGTTTGATTGTCAGAGGAATAATCAGACAATAACACTGAAACTACCCAAGGAAGAAAGGGAAGCTTTTCTTTTCTCATAACGGAAATGATATATCTCTCTCTTTCCTTATTCCACTTGGGGATGCAACCATAGTACTGACAATAAAGCAAAACCTTTCTTAAAAGTGTGTGCTCCGTTGTTTGGCTGTGGGTCCTGACAGGCGTCTCACCTCAACCTTTTATTTCCGCTCTCCCCGCCCTCCCTTTTCCCCTCAGCAGATGCTGAAGGAGCTGTCAAAACTTCCTCTCAGCTGCCCTCAGCCAGCCAGCCCAGCCACAGCCTCCGAGTCTGCCTCCTCTTCCCCTGGGGCTGGAGAAAGGCAGCTGATCCAGCTCGTCAGAGATGCTGGATTCTCCTCCACCAGGCGGGCAGCCACGGGCTGTCTCCCCCTGCCATCTTCTCCCTTCCTTCTGCCCCAGAAGGGTTTCTCTCTGCATTTGAAGGCTTTTTAAAAAGGTGATTTTGCTATAGGATGGTGGGAGTTCCAGTGTGGGATTTGTGTGCCTGCAATGCACACCCAGCTGCTCAGTTGCGACAGCTGCCTCATCCTCAGCAGCAGGGCAGGAGGAGCGGGGTCTGTGAGGGGCCAATAAGGAGTCGGAGGAGGAAGGACCTCAATGTGGGCAGAAGAGTGCCCTTTGAGGGGCCGGAAAGGGGGGGTGGGTTGCAGGGTAACATTTCTGCTTTTGAATTACCCTTGAGTTTGAAGTGAGGGGTAGAATGGTGCATGAAACATGCAGACTCTCACCGCCCTACCTTTCCCTCAGGAACTTTTACAGGGCGTCTGTTAGAAGTAAGGTTGAGGGAGGGCTGGAGGAGGCCATCCCTGTGAAGGGGAAAGGTGTTGCTCACGCAGCTGCAACAGGACCATTTGGACACCACCCCCACACATCACAAGTGACGTGATCACCCCAATTAAGCAAAAAATGCAGGTTTTGGTTGTGGATACAGAATGCATACACAGAATTCACAATAAATAAACCCATCATACAAATATAAGCAAGACTAGCAACATCTTTAGTTTCAAGGTTCCCAATTTTTATCCATTAATGACCCATGGCTGCACATATAATATAAGCTTTGGGAATCTTAATTATTGTATTTTAATATTTTTATTAACTTTTATTTTTAACAAAGTAACAAAAAAGTTACAGAGTTAAATGCAAATTGCAAATTAAATCAAACAATCAGATTTTAAAACTCTTTCAATAACCAATTAGTACAATGTACAAAGAAAAACAAACGCAAAAAATCATAATTAAAGTTAAATAATAATGGACTAAAGAAGAAGAAGAAGAGAAGAAGAGACTGGATTTATACCCCGCCCTTCACTACCCAAAGGTGTCTCAGAGCAGCTTACAAACTCCTTTCCCTTCCCCTCCCCACAACAGACACCCTGTGAGGTAGGTGGGGCTGAGAGAACTCTTGACAGAAACTGCTCTTTTTCAAGAACAGCTGTGCCAGAGTTATGGCTTGCCCAAGGTCATCCAGCCAGGTGCAAGTAGAGGAGTGGGGAATCAAACCTGGTTCTTCCAGATTAGAGTCCGCGCACTTAACCACTACACCAAACTGGCTCTACCAAGGTTTTCACAGCGACCACCTCTAAAGCCTATTTGAGTTGTTATCTTGTTATTTCTGTAAGCCACAAAGTTTGATTTGCACCTACAGCCCTTTCATTTTCCCTGTCCACTCCTCTACTGGAAGTAGGGTTGTCAAAAACCCAGGTTTGCCAGGGGTCCCCCAGTTTTGGGGGGGTTCTACCCGCCCCCAACACCCACAGCCACCCCTCTCCCTTCTCTCTTGAGTTCATGGAACCCAGGTTTCCTCCCAAGCCCGATCGCTTTTTTAAGGCGAGGAAACTGGCGTTTCTGGAAATCGGGTGTGCAAGGGGGGGGGGGGGGGCGGGGGACATTCCCAACATGATGTCATCACATCGGTGACGCCCCGCCCCCTCCAGGAACGCCCCCAAAGTCCCCCGCTGGGGGCGGAAGATGGACTTGGCAACAGAGGTCAATTTGGGGGGGATCGCGGGGGAACACAGTTCCCCCGGGTGAGGTGCGGGGCACACGACGAAGCCCCGCCCCCTGCTTCCAGCCGCCCCGCTTCCAGCCCTCATTCAGCCAGGAGGAGGCAGGAGAAGAGGGAGGGTAAGTTGCTTCCTCCCCGCCTCTCCCCACCCCTGCCTGCCTGGGGCCAGGGAGGGCCTTGGCGGGGCTTCCTCGCACTCCCGCCGGCCTTGCAGGTCCACCGCCGGGCCCCTGATGTCAGGAAGTGTGGCATATGCTAATGAGTTCCCCTAGCTCTTTTTCTACGAAACGACCCCTGCTTGGCAACCCTAACCGGAAGACCTAGCCTTTGTTTCCAGTAAAGACCACCCGAAATGCAGAGAATGCAGGGCATAACTCTGTTTAGGATGGCACCATAAATCTTGGCTGGTTTTTTAAAAGAAAGAATTACCTGGTAAAATAATGTCACCAAACCCAAGTAATGAAAATGGCACACCACATATCATCGGCGTACAGAACTGGAGCCTGGGCACCCTCATGACCACTGGCAACTGTAAAACAGGGTTGCAAAGCCCCACATAAGTCCAACCCAAAGGACACTTGAGAAAGAAAGATTTAAATGTTTTTATCAGAACTATTTACTCATCTACTTTATGCAGAACTTCAGATTACGAGGGACCTGAATTAAGAAAACAGGAACCAAGATGCTGAGTGTGCAATATATTATCCAAGTGGATAAGCCAAGAGAAAACTGCATGTGTATGATACACAGACACTATGCACAGAAACATTAATGAAACACACTACATGGTGAGAAAGGAAGATCTGAATTTTAGCCTGCTTTAAAACAATAAATGTTGGCCAGTACTGAGATTCAAGTACTGAAGAAATAAATTTGGAGATAGAGAATATTAGATTTCCCCCCAAAGGCTACTATTTTTCAGAGGATATGATTTAAAATCCAGTGAACATATCTGAAATACAATCCTTACTTTCTCATGAGGAGCTGACCGCTCAGCAGAGGCTTCCACCAAGTTTCCATAATTCTAGGATCAAACCCAAGTCAACAAGCATTTAATACTTTTTTTAAAGGAGAAAAGATGGCTACATTTTGAGATCAAGTTATACCTAAATATTTAGGGCATGATCCAGCCAAAATCAAGCACTTGGACATCCTATTTTTAATGGAAAATATTTAAGAACATGCTTAAATGCACTCCCACTGAAGCAAGTGAGACTTTAAAGTGCAAAACTTTAGCTGAATTATGCATTAATATGCACTAACTGCAACAGCAGCTATGAAAACTCAGTTTATTGAAATGCTTAACAGTATGTATAACAATTACTTAATGTTTAGGAGTATAATGCCTACCTTTTCACTGTTTCTAAAAGGACCTGTTGCAACTTCAACCATTATACTTTCCCCACTCTGAAATTGTAAAGAAATACTTTATTATGGAATCATTTATTACAAGCATTAAATTTCCATATTATTAAACATAAAAAGAAGAAGAAGAGATTGGGTTTCTCTTCTTCTGTATATGCCATAGTATAATGTGATTTTCTTACAGTACACTTCTACCAGTACATGCCTCAGCAAATGAAAAATGATGCTTGAAATGATAATCCAACAAAATGTGCTGAGCAGAACAACGGAACTTTAAAACTTTCTCCTTTTTTTAAAGCAGGGTTTGATTTGACTGCTGCCTTCCCCCCCCCCTTTACAGCAGAAGTATTCTGTTGCAAATATAATCTTTTTTTGAAATCCAAGAACTTGATGTTCACAATACGTTGTAGTACAACTAGCCTTCCTATTTGCCCTTGCCTCACCCTGCTGGTCAAGCCCTCCCACTTGCCCTTGCGTCCAGGCCAGCAGGAGGACTGTGGGGGCAGAAATGACGTCAGCTGATGCTCCGGATTATCCCCCAAACTCTATGGTAATACCCCTTGCCCCATGCCTAACACTCCTGAGTGTTAGGCATGGGGCAACCTTAAGTATAATCTGAAACTTAAAACTACAAATTTAACATGACCATCTCTGATGCAGAGGAATCAAAACATGGGGAAAGGCCCATGAACATTGAAAGGCCCATGTACATCCATTCAGACTTCAGTGTTTCAAAAGTACAAAGCAAAGCAACACTGCATCCAGTACTTTAAATTTCACTCCAAATGTTAATGTATTTATTAACCACTATACAGAGAGTAGCTAGCTGCATATATTCCGCAGTCACCTAAAAATGTCTGAGTTCCACTGGCAACTTTGTGGCAGAAGCCGTGCCACGTACCATATTACTCTATTTTCTCACTATATTAAAGTATAAGTCAGATTTGTCTTGGTGAAATAGTACTTACTTCCTGTTCTGTTACGTCCCTCTAAATTTGCATTTAACGCAATTTCTTCACTTCTGAGCATTACTATCCACCTTTAATCTAGAGCTACTCCCCCCACCTCATTTTATGCTTTTTTGGGTCAATTCTTTCATTATTAAAAAATAAACACTGCCAATTTAAATATGTGAAATATCACCATGTTATAAACCCATGTACTTACTTTAGTAAGGTACGGAGTGATGAAGACAAAAAATACATCATACACAAGGAGAAGACCTAGGAGAATAACACATGACTACAGAACAAAAAAATAATGTTATTTTACTTACTTTTGATAAGTGAGTAATCTTTAATGCTTTAGAATAATATAATTATAACACAGACTTAAAATTAATAAATAGCTTCTTACTAATATTTGGGCTTCTCTGTACTGGTTTCCTGATTATGATCATTTAGCATTTTTCCTGTCCCTTTCTAAACTCATCTTTGGGACTAAAAATGTACCTCTTTTGAAATGGCTGCTGGTATCCCAGTAATTTTAAAACAGGCCCATGCACACTATGCAGAAAAGAATTAGCAGCAGTTTTTAAAAAGTTTACTGAACACATTGACATTACAGGCAAGAAAACACCAACTGGATATTAACAAAAAATTTTTTTATATTCTATATATTTTAAGAATTCTGATAGCAAGACGTTGGAAATCTAAAAGAATACCATCTATAGGAGAACTCAAAAATATGGTGATGGGAATAGCTGAACTGGACAAGTTAAATACAACACTACAAAATAAACCAGAGGAACTTTTTTGGGACAGATGGAAATTATTTTATGACTGGCTGAAGATAAATTAAAACTGAATTATGCTAGTATGATATAAAAGTTGTAAAATGTGGAAGATGTAATGGATATTATAAGTTGTAACTGAGTGTGAAAGAGATATGTTGTTTAATTTTGTTATAGTGGAAAATGAAAATAAATTTTCAAAAAAAAAATTTTTTTTACAGTCAAGAGTATTTCAGCAGTGGAATCAGCTGCCCAGGGAGGTGGTGACGCTCCCCCTGACTGGCAGTCCTTAAGCAGCAGCTGGACAAACACTTGCCAGGGATGCTCTAGGCTGATCCTGCATTGAGCAGGGGGTTGGACTAGATGGCCTGTATGGTCCCCTCCAGCTCTGTGATTCTACGATCCTATATACAGAGTTCAGTGGGACTTGGTCCATCTTTTAACAATATATGGCTTCAGCTTTCATGGGCTAGAGCGTATGTTCTCAGATGCTACACAAACACAAAAATGCTCTAGCCTTTTAAGGTGTCACAAGACACCTCTTTGTTTTCATTACAACAGAACAACACTGGTACTTGTCTGGAAGTTGTAACATTCATGTATTTTTAGCTAGGTAAACAGTTTACTATACCTTGAAGTTGGGCATTTTGAGAGTTTTAATAAAGTTCAGGCAGAAAGCAATTCCCAAGATATCTTGCAAAATCCAAGCCCAGCTAAAATAAAAAATGAATTATATAAAAAAAAAATTAAAAAATAATAAAATGTTACATACATTTGCTAGAGTAACAGTGCCACCCTAAACAGAGTCACATCAATCTAAGTCCATCAAAGTCAATGGAATTAGAAGTGTGTAACTCTGCTGGGAAGTGCACTGAAGACTGGGATCCAAAGGGGTCCATTCACATGTGAGAAGAACTTCCACAAAGGCACCATTTCAGGCAGCAGCTTCTTAAGTTACATTAAAGGATATCTCAGGCTTTACTGGCAGCCTTTGAGGACCAGTCAGGGAAGGGTAACAGAAAGAAAAGGCTGAAAGCCCCTATGCCTGGACAGCCTGGATCTTGGCCTAAATATTTTTAAAAGGCATTTATCATTTCAGCTCTGAATCTTGGAATTCTTCACGTACCTGTCTTCATTCCGAAACACAACCCAAACTGCAGATACTGCTATGCAAAATCCAGCGAGGAAAATGAGCCTCACTTCAAAGGCTGTGTTGCAGCATGCAAGCCTAAACGATAAACTTGCATCACAAGTTTTGCCATAAACACAGGTCTTCTGAAACCACCAAACAGTGCAGTTCTAAGCAGAATTATGCCCTTCCAAGTTCTCAAAAGTTAATTGAGTTAAAAACATAATAAAAATGCAAGAGAAGTCATGTTGGATCAGTCCAATGGCCCACCTAGTCACACAGCAGCCAAAACCCAGGCACCATCAGGAGGCCCACAAGCAGGGCCAGAACTCCAGAAGCCCTCCCACTGTTGCCCCCCAAGCACCAAGAATACAGAGCATCACTGCCCCAGACATAGAATTAGAAGGGGGTAACTCTGTATAGGATTGCACAGAACAATGCTAAGCCACACACAGGTTTCATCCAGAGCAATTTTCTCTAGTAGAATTTCTGCACTCCAGTAAGTTACACTGAAATTATATACAGAATTAGTAATTAAAGAGATCATTTAGGGCTACCACTTGGCTGATTTTAAGCCAATTCATTTTGTAAAATGGCTAGCTATTGCCAACATCTGTCTTGTTTAGCATTTCACAGAGATTGCTGTTTGGATGTGTGGCAGACAATTTATTTATTTCCACCCCACAATATGGTTGTGCAAATGGAAATTCACAAAGAGCATACATTTCACAAAATATTTTCAAGTATGTTGATTATAAGCATACTTGCATAAGTGCATAATGCATAAGTTTTCAGCAAAGGAGACACAGCCAGACTGGAAATACAACCATCAGAGCAGGAAAACACTCTGTATGCTACTGGAAACTAGGACTTCTCGAGCCTGAGATGTCTGAGACTTGTTCTCAAACCAAAATGAACACAAGCCATGATTGCCACTGTTTTACATTATTACTAGCTTTCACATATAACAAATCAAGAGCTAAAATTTGGACATTCATGTGATGATAAACAATTGCATTATGGCCCTGACCTGGATAGCTCAGGCAAGCCCAATCTCATCAGATTTCGGAAGCTAAGCAGGGTCAAATTTTGCAAGTACTTGGATGGGAGACCTCCTTGAAATACCAGAGGCAGGAGGCGGTGGCAGGCTTTATTCAGGCACCTCTCTGAATATCCTCCAGGCCCCCAGTAGGGGTCAGTCACCAGAGGTCACCATGACTTCCAGGTGCACACACTTACACACGTACATATTAAAAAATACTAAAAAATCCCCCCAAAAACCCAACTGCATTATGGAGGGATTTAAAAGCAGACACTGCAAAAGTAGTTCCCAAATATTTAATAGCTTATCTTATCAAGAGAGCTTTACAAACCAAGCTATCTGTCTACAAAGTTCCTAGGATATCCATGCTCCTAGGCTCACCATATGTGAAGCACTGCAACAGATGGCCAGTGGTTGGATATCCACTGTGTCCTGTGAATTCTTAAATATAGTTTTAAGTCTAAAGAAAAACCTAGATGGCTAGGGTTAGTTCTATTTATCATCAATTATGACACAAATCCCTATATAACACAAAAAAGAAAAAGTGGATTACATCCTTAAAGATGTAAGAACTACAAACAGTCTGTAGAAAAAACAAGAAGAGAAATGGAGAGAAGCATAGCAAGGCAAGGCGGTTCCTCCTTTCCATACAACTGCAGTATTGGTGGAGGTAAGCATAACCCAAATAAAAGTTACAGTAATTTCTTAAACCATAGTTTCACTGTCACTAGTTATAAAACCATTAAAATTATATGAAACAATAGTACCTGCATTGTCCAAAAGGTATTTTCCTTATTAGTGCAGCAAGACAGTTGTACAGGCTTATTGCAGATGCCAAGCAGAAAATAGCAATAATGACGTAAACTATGGGAAAAACAAAAATAAATTGGTAGATAGCTACAAGAACCATGCAGTCAGAAGTTTATGGTGTCGTTAAGAATGCATATCTATTCAAGTCAATCATCCCAAGCATATTTGCTCAGAAGCAAATAACACTGTGGTTAGCAGGGCTTATGTCCTAGTGACAACGTTTACATTTGAAGCCACCATTGTATTCATATATTTCCTTACATTTTTGCTGTATCTATGTCAAATACTTTTGTCCTGCTATTCAAAAGGAAAACAAAAAGGTTTCTACTTCAGGGAAGCGTCTACAAATACTAGTTTGGCTCGCTAACTGGCTTCTATTTGTGCTCGCAACCAACCCTCTCCCTTCCCCAAGTTTTCAGATACAATGCATGAGGCAGGAATTTCTCTTGTATGTGCTAGAATAGAAAGATGGTAAGAAATGGTAGATTCCCCTCCCCCTCTTATATGTTACTCAAATTTTAGTTCAAATTAGATAAAACCCCTTCTTTCTCCCAAGGCTGAGCCTCATCTCCTTTGCACTGTGGTTAGAGAAGATAAGGAATGGTGTTCTAGCTTTGCTGTCTCTTCTCCAGACTTCAGCTCCAATGAGATAAGACCTCTGGCATATGGAAAAAACTCCAGAGATGGGCAAGGTTCCTCTCACCTGAGGTGGTGAGAAGAAACAGCAGGTTGAAAACTTCTGTGTTTTTTTCTTCAGTCTTGTCCAAAATTCAGAGCGACCGAGAAATCCCTCTTCCTGAGACCCCGGAAAGCCACTGTCTTTCTGAGTAGGCAATACTGAAAAACTGACTTTGATGGACCAATGGATGGCTTAGTACAAGGCAGCTTTGTCTGTTTATATGGAGAAAATCCCATTGTACAGGAAACAACTGTAAGAGCCCTTTCTCCCAGCCCAAGTGGCTAAGCCACTGGTTTACCTCCTCTGTGAAAATCAGGCCTGGGAAAGCATGCTTAAATTGAAAAGTAAAATTAGGTAAGTCCAAATGTCTTCTTACCTAGCCATATGTAGAAGTAGTAGAGCAAGACTAACATGATGCAAGAGAGGACAACAAATACAATCACTTTCACAGGGCTGAAAATGATACTTTCTGAACTCTTCCTTGAAACTTCTCTGGTTTCAGAGCTTGCAGCCGCCTTCAATTCCTCTCTGTCAAGGTAAGCAGGAAAAGCAGTACCATTCAAATTATACAGGAACAGCATAGCAAGAACTAGTAGTAGTTTGATATTTTTAGTTTGAAAAAAGATTTTTTAAAGAAGCATTTGAAATTACTTACAGCTCTTCCATTCCACTCCAAAAACCTCCCACTGCCACAGTGAGCACAGCAATTAGAAAGATGACCACCATGCTGAAGTCAAACTCTGGCAAAGGTGGTGAATATAATGTCACATTAACATTATATCCAAGATTCTAGAAGAAATTATAAATGTATCACTTAAGAGGGGAAATAGAAACATGGTCAAACAATAGAAAGCTCCCACTCTCCACATTTGAATACTGTGCACAGCTACACTGAACCAGATGGGCAATAGATTTAGGAAGATGAAGCAAATTGAAGATTTTAAAAATGATTACTACTACAGGGCTTTGCCATGGTTCTGGGGCTGTACCACTAATGCGGCTTACAGACTCCCTTCCCTTCCCCTCCCCACAACGGACACCCTGTGAGGTGGGTGGGGCTGAGAGAACTCTGACACAAACTGCTCTTTTTTCAAGAACAGCTGTGCCAGAGCTTGTGACTGACCCAATGTCATCCAGCAGCTGCAAGTGGAGGAGTGGGGAATCAAACCCGGTTCTCCCAGATTAGAGTCCGCACACTTAACCACTACACCAAATTGGGTTTTGGGTTGCAGTTTGGGCACTCAGTCTCTAAAAGGTTTACCATCACTGGACTAGGATCTGGGAGACCCAGGTTCCAATCCCCATTCTGCCATGGAAACTTGTTGGGTGACCTTGGGCCAGCCATACACTCTAGACCTAACCTACCTCACAGGGTTGTAATTGTGAGGATGCAGAGGAGGAGGAAGAGAGAGACACTGTAAACTGCATTAGGTTTGCACTGGGGAGAAAAGTATGCTATGTAAATAGAAATAAATATCTCCACCTATGCACTCCAAAGAAATTATCTCGACCCTTCTGTGTTCTCCAAGGGCTCCATTCCTACTTTTCCTTTTTCTGCTTTCTCTCTCTGCCATCCCTTTCTTTTCTTGTTGACTATTCTTACTGTATAAAGTTGTTGTTTTTATAAAAAAATGAGATCAGCTAACTGGAAGCTGGATCGAGAAATATGCATTAGCCAAATGCAAGGCTGCAGGTCTTGTATGCTGCAGATTGTTATGTGCTGATTTTTAAAGAAAGGTTTTAAAGAAAGATTTTTATGAAAGATAGTAAGATTTAAGAATAAAGCTTTTTGCTGCAAGCAGTCTGCCACACTTGTCTAAGAGTCCAAGAAACATTATGAGTTTTACAATTTGATATTAATTGTGCCAAGGAAAATAATCACAAAGTGGAGATGGTACGCATTGACAGGGACAAGTATGAATACAAATGAAAGATAAAAAACTGGCAGTTAGGTATTGTAAAAATCTTGGTTCAAGTGATATATATATATATATTTGTATGAGTCTTGGGGAAAGTTGTTTCATACACTATGCTTTTAATTTTATGGAAAAGACCAGAGTGGAGGAAAACAAATTAATAAACTGAACTTGATACACAGCTGTAAATTTGAAAGAATACCCTTAGAGATGGCAAGACTTAACATCGATATCTTAGGAATCAGTGAACTTAAGTGGACAGGAATGGGCGAATTTAACTCAGAAGACCATTATATCTACTACTGTGGCCAGGAATCTCGTAGAAAAAATGGTGTGGCCTTTATAGTCAACAAGAGAGTGCAAAAGTCAGTACTGGGATACAATCTCAAAAATGACAGAATGATTTCTGTCCGATTCCAAGGCAAACCATTCAACATCACAGTAATCCAAGTCTATGCCCCAACCACTGATGCAGAAGAGGCTGAAGTGGACCGGTTCTATGAAGACCTACAACACCTTATAGAACTAACACCAAAAAATGATGTCCTCATCATCATAGGGGACTGGAATGCTAAAGTAGGAAGTCAAAAGGTAACCGGAATAACAGACAAGTTTGGCCTTGGAAAGCAAAATGAAGCAGGGCAAAGGTTAACAGAGTTTTGTCAAGAGAACACACTGGTCATAGCGAACACCCTTTTCCAACAACCTAAGAGGCGACTCTACACATGGACATCACCAGATGGGCAACACCGCAATCAGATTGACTATATAATTTGCAGTCAAAGATGGAGAAGCTCTATCCAGTCAGTAAAAACAAGACCTGGAGCTGACTGTGGTTCAGATCATGAGCTACTCATTGCAAAATTCAGACTTAAATTGAAGAAAATCGGGAAAACCACGACGCCATTCAGGTTTAACCTAGATCGCATCCCTGATGAATATACAGTAGAGGTGAAGAATAGATTCAAGGGTCTGGATTTGATAGATAGAGTGCCTGAAGAACTATGGACAGAGGTTCGTGACATCGTACAGGAGGCAGCAATCACCACCATCCCAAAGAAAAAGAAATGTAAGAAAGCAAAGTGGCTTTCTGATGAGGCTTTACAAATAGCAGAGGAAAGAAGGAAAGCGAAAGGCAAAGGCGAAAAGGAAAGATTTACCCAACTGAACGCAGATTTCCAGAGAACAGCAAGGAGAGATAAGGAGGCCTTCCTGAATGAACAGTGCAAAGTAATAGAAGAAAACAATAGAATGGGAAGGACTAGAGATCTCTTCAAGAAAATTGGAGAAATCAAGGGAGCGTTCCATGCAAAGCTGGCCATGATAAAGGACAAAAACGGTAGGGACCTAACAGAAGCAGAAGAGATTAGGAAAAGATGGCAAGAATACACAGAAGAACTATACAAGAAAGACCTCGATGTCCTTGACAACCACGACGGTATAATCACTGACCTCGAGCCAGACATCCTGGAATGTGAAGTTAAATGGGCCTTAGAAAGCATTACTAACAACAAAGCTAGTGGAGGTGATGGTATTCCAGCTGAGCTATTCAAAGTCTTAGAAGATGATGCTGTTAAAGTTCTGCACTCCATTTGCCAGCAAATTTGGAAAACGCAACAGTGGCCACAGGATTGGAAAAGATCAGTATACATTCCAATCCCAAAGAAGGGCAATGCCAAGGAATGTTCAAACTATCGCACAATTGCACTCATATCACACGCTAGCAAGGTCATGCTCAAGATCCTACAAGCTAGGCTTCAACAGTACGTGGATAGAGAACTACCAGAAGTACAAGCTGGGTTTCGAAGAGGTAGAGGAACTAGAGATCAAATTGCCAACATTCGCTGGATTATGGAGAAAGCAAGAGAGTACCAGAAAAATATCTACTTCTGCTTCATTGACTATGCTAAAGCTTTTGACTGTGTGGATCACAACAAACTATGGCAGGTCCTTAAAGAGATGGGAGTACCAGACCACCTCACATGTCTCTTGAGAAACCTGTATAAGGGCCAAGAAGCGACAGTTAGAACCGGATACGGAACAACTGATTGGTTCAGCATAGGAAAAGGAGTACGACAAGGATGTATACTGTCACCTTGCTTATTTAATATATATGCAGAGTACATCATGCGAAATGCTGGCCTGGATGAATCACAAGCGGGAATTAAGATTGCTGGGGAAAAGATCAACAACCTCAGATATGCAGACGATACCACTCTAATGGCAGAAAGTGAAGAGGACCTAAAGAGCCTCTTGCTCAGGGTAAAAGAGGAGAGCGCAAAAGTGGGCTTGAAGCTCAACATCAAAAAAACTAAGATCATGGCATCCGGCCCCATCACTCCTTGGCAAATAGAAGGGGAAGTCGTGGAAGTAGTGACAGACTTCACGTTCCTGGGATCCCAGATCACCGCAGACTGTGACTGCAGCCATGAAATTAAAAGACGCCTGCTCCTTGGGAGGAAAGCGATGGCGAACCTAAACAGCATGATAAAAAGTAGAGACATCACCCTGCCAACAAAAGTCCGCATGGTCAAAGCAATGGTATTCCCAGTAGTCATGTATGGCTGCGAGAGTTGGACTATAAGGAAGGCCGAGCGCCGAAGAATAGATTCTTTTGAACTATGGTGCTGGAGGAGACTCTTGAGAGTCCCTTGGACTGCAAGAAGAACAAATCAGTCAATCCTCAAAGAAATCAACCCTGACTGTTCCCTGGAAGGCCAGATAATGAAACTGAAGCTCAAATACTTTGGCCACCAAATGAGAAGGGAGCACTCACTGGAGAAGACCCTGATGCTGGGAAAGATTGAAGGTCAAAGAAGACGGGGACGGCAAAGGATGAGATGGTTAGACAGTGTCATCGATGCAACGAACATGAAATTGAGCCAGCTTCAGAGGACGGCGGAAGACAGGAGGGCCTGGCGGGAGATGATCCATGGGGTCGCGAAGAGTCGGACTCGACTGTGCGACTGAACAACAACAACAACAACCCTTAGAGGACACTTTCACAAGGTGTCAAAATAATGTTTCACAAAACCCACACCCTGGTAGTCAGAACCAAGAAAAAAGGCAATAGGCATATGTATGTAGCTGCATTTAACCTGATAAAAATATTGGGGGCGGGGGGGGCACTGGAGAGAGGTTGAGAGAGGTTCCTGATTATGAAACCAAAATCAAGTATTTTATACAAATTGATATTTTAGTCATAAAAAGCAAGTAATTTTGAAAGCTACTTACCTTATTAATGTCAAGAACATCCGCATAAGAGATAAGTACAATCGGAATGCTGAGATTCTTATACATGGTCCTGTCACCTGAAGGAGTATCCTAGAAAAAGAAATGCCACAGTATGTCTGCATAACTGAACCAACAACTGAACTCGCTACCTAAAGGCTAAGGACAGAACATCTCCCTCAGGCCCAAGCCGTACATTAACAAGGACGTGAGTGTGGAGGTACAAGCTAACCATTTTTTCCAGTACCTCTCCCCAGTTAATAGTCACATAATAGCCCCCCCCCCCCCGGCTGTACAATACTAAGAAGATTCAGACTGATGACACGTCTGAATCTCCCCTCAGCATACTGGACTTCACCTTCTCTTCCTTTAAGAAACTTCAGTATTAGGCTAAGCAACCTGCCAGTGAGGCCACCACAGTAGCTGCAGTGTTTCTCAGCACATCCATCACAATCAATAGGAAACATGAACTGCTAGAAACATTAAATGTAAGAAATACATTTTCTGGACACTATGGTAAAAATACACATTGGACACATAGACACCACCTTCACCAGAAGCCTTCTGACCGACAAACATATCTACATGCCTCCAGCTGTCATCCTAAACATACCAAACAATCCACGGTATACAGCAGGGCTCTATACTATAGCCACATCTGTTCAAATGCTACAGACAGAGATCTACGACAAACTTTTTTGGAACTGAAGTATCCACCTGATGAAGTCAAGAAATAGATTAACAAAGCCAGAATGGTACCCAGAGAAAACCTGTTGCAAAACAGGCCCAAAAGAGACAATAACAGAACACTACTAGTGGTCACATACAGCGCATCTCAACTCAAAACACTTCAACATATCATCAGCAGCTTAACAACCTCTACTGGATAATGACAGTTCTCGTTCACAAATACTGGGGAGATGGCTGAGTTACAAGTTATTACAACACACAGGACAATGGAACCCCCGGGCTTAACAGAGATATTGGTTTCTTATCTCACTACACATGCTAAGATGCTAAGATGAGATTTCTCTCATCTGTTTGTAAACTCTTTTATTATGCTACATGCTAATTTGCTGCTATTCACAGGTCTTACCCAACTGCCTTAATCCAATTTTAGCTATCTTTATTGCTCAGTTTCTTATGCATCTTGACTGTAATTAGCCCTTCCTGGCAACACCCTCCCCACCATCTACCTATATGTAATGGTTGGTGACTTCTGTTTCAATGTATCTGAAGAAGTGTGCATGCACAGGAAAGCTTGTACCCAGAATTAAACTTTTTTTGTCTTAAAGGGGCCACTGGTCTCAAACTTTGTTCTAATTTTTATGCCAACACAAGCTTTTGTGGAATAGAGCCCACTTCTTCAGATCTGAGAATTCAACAGCATTCTTGTGGCACCTTGGACGTGTAACAAGATTTTTGCTCCAGCATCAGCTGTCACTAAACCCAGTTCTTCACATCTGAAAAATAAGCTGCAGTCTAGTCGCACCTTCAAGACTAACAGAATTTTAAACAAACATAATATTCCGTGTACTGCAGCCCACTTTTTCAGATATGAAAAATAATATGCAGTAATGGCTAAGTGAACAAACTATGTAAATAGAAGCCCAATCAAATAATTTTAAAATAAATGGAAAGCTTATTACTTATATTTAACCTAATAACTGAGAAGGAAATATAGAAGATATTGAAATGATAAATATAAATATTTTCCTAATATATAATGTAATTGAAAATGGGTGAAAAGAGGGGGTAATATTCACTTATTTTATAATAGTTATTTCATCATTTTATCAATTGCTGTATAATTTTATTTCAAATTATTGCCTAAAATTATTATAATATGCTTATTGGATATCATATGGGGCAGTCTATGACTTAGCATAATACCAAATATTATGAAATTATTACTTAATTAATATTAACTGATGCTTGGTAAGGTATTAACTACAACTTATCACAATTATGGCTATTATACTATATAACATTACCATATAATTGGTTTTTTCCACTTTTCTGATGTCCCGTTCATACTTAAATTTTAAAAAAAGAAACACAAAATTAAGAAACCTGTAGGAAAACATTCAACCTCCCAGGACACTCAACAGGGAATCTCAAAGTAGCTATTTTATTGAAAAGGAATATCGAAAACAGACTAGAACAGGAGATTGCTGAATTATAAATTATTACAACACTCAGGACAATGGAACCCCCAGGGCTTAACAGAGATATAGGGACACTCAGTTCTCACATCTGTTTGTTAATTATTTTATTATCTGTATGCTAATTTGCTGTTATTCACAGGTTTTACCAACTGCTTTAATCCAGTCTTAGCTATCTTTACTGCTCAGTTACTTATGCATCTTGACTCCAATTAGCCCTCCCTGGCAACTAACCCCCAACCCCACCCTCTCTCTGCCTATATGTAAGGGTTAGCAAAGTCTGCTTCAATGTATCTGAAGAAGTGTGCATGCATACGAAAGCATATACCCAGAATTAAACTTTGTTGGTCTTAAAGGTGCCACTGGACTCAAACAGTTTTCTTCCACTTGTTGCTAAAGGCCATTTCAAATGCACAGAAGGGTGCTGCCTATAATCCCAAACAGATAACAGCAGGCTTATGCAGCCAGTTTACATCAAGGCTGCGTGGGGAGGTTAGAAAAGATTTAATCCTTCAGCATCCACACACAGGCTTCCCTGCCTTGTTACCAGCATTTCAGCCTTTAAAATGCTTAATAGTATGGGAAAATTGGTTTCACTGAAGGATCAGATCTCTTCTTTCTTCCGTACATTCCACCCCCACCCCCAGACAAACTGAGGCTGTGCAAGCCTGCAATTTCATTATATAGATGAAATTAGATGCATCATTACTCAACAGATGATTGGAGAAGAATCTCATTTTTCCAGGAAGAAAATATTACAATTTGAGTACTGGAAATATCGGACATCCTTTCATTTTTAGTGAAATACTGAGTAAAAATGAAAGGACAGGATGCTAGAAATGAAGCCGAGATGGGTGTCTGCTGCCCCACAAAAACTATAATTTAAAACAAGGATAGCCAATTTATGTATTCTTGGGGTCCATTCTCTTCTGCAGCCATTTGTTCAGGAGCCCAACCAATACGCGGACATACACATGACTCCCTTGCATATGCCACCTAGTCGCAAAGGCTTCCCAGTTATACAACATCTGGGTTCAGGCCGAGCATTGCAAACACAATATGTAACATTTTCATGCGTACTGTACACTAACTCAGAGAAGAGTTATGTAACTTTAAAGGGTGGTTAATTCCAGGTAGGTAGCTCTATTAGTCTGCAACAGTAGAATAAAATAGGAGTCCAGTGGCACCTCGAACTAAAAACTTATTCCAGTGTAAGCTTTTCTGAGTCAGAGAGGCTCATTATTAGACACATTATTTTATTAGCCTTTAAGGTGCCACCAGATTTCTGTTTTATTCAAGCATACATTATTTCTCTTTCCTATGATCTTTTTACTTTAACCCACAAGTAGAACTGTGGAGACAGTTTTTCTACAACACCATCACTAAGACTGGGTAGAGCTACCAGGGGCCCAGATAAAATTGTTCAGGAAGCAACTATGGCATGCTGAATGCTAGCTGGCTGTTTCTGAAACGGGGGGGGGGGGGGGGGGGGAGACAATCCTTACTGAAAATCACAAGGATGCTATAAAAATACTATTGCAGTTTAGACCTTTTCCTCATTGGAAGACAGCTACACACACTATAACTTACTAGACCAGTTTCGCTGGCAATCAGCAGTATTTTAGCATCCAGATTTTGAGCGATCCATGCCTTCTCCAAAAAACTGCAGTTTCCCCTCTTTACTACAACTGCCTTGTCCTTCATGATATCGTGTGGAACCTCAGACGAACTGCAGAGCAATTTGGGGGCCAAGACCGTCAGCCTTGTAGGAGTCTATAAAGATAAGAAAATCTCTAATATTAATACCTGTAATGGAGTTCAAACAGTTATTTCAGACATTTTAATATGCATTGGAAATGAGTGAATTGAAGAGCGTTACTCTGCAATATGAAGCCATTCTTGTGGGAAAACTAGGACTGGGGAGACCTGGGTTCAGATTCCTGCTTTCCAGGAAACTTACTAGGCAATGCTGAACTAGTCATTTTCAAGCGGAGGCTGGACGACCATCTTTTGGGTATGTTCTAGGGCTATCTTTCGGCTATGCTCCTGCAGAGTGCAGGGGGTTGGACTAGATGACCTGCAATGTCCCTTCCAACGCTAACATTCTATGATTCTATGATTCTCAGCCTCACCCACCTCACAAGGTTGTTGTGACAATAAAATGGAGGAGGGAAGAATCATGCACAGTGCCCTGAGCTCCTAAGAAGAACTGCTAGATTAAAAAGCACTAAATATGTGTATTCAGTACCAAAGAAAATATATCCTTAGAAGTTACTGTACAGTACATATTGCTGTTTGGAGATAACATTTTTGAATGCTCTGTAGTATTACAAGTTCCACACCAGCAGTACAGAGAGCAATAAGTTCTAGCTCCCCACACTCCCTATTGAGAGAGTTCTCTGTTTTCAGAGCAGCTTTCTTCTTCTTTTAAGCAGAAAAGCATTCAGACCCATGATTCTGCATCTGCACTTCCAAACTGTTCTACCGCCTCTGGATGACAGCTATGTTATCTCTTTTCATTCTGCTACATGCAGAGATCCAGCTATACTCATGTTTCTGGGCTTACTCTGGCTCATGCATACTCCATACTGGCATAATCCAGCCATTTGGATGCCACATTATTTTGACTTGGGATAAGCAGATCCCCTTCATTGTGATTCCATTATTTATTACCTTGGGTTTACTGCAGTTGCCTTCCCCACAAGAAAGGAGAATTATGGAAAGTATACAAATCTGATTTTAAATAACTATTGAAAGAATACTAATTTATGAACTGTTTTTAGATCATTATAGTAAGAACCTTATTGTGCCATTTGTTTGTTTCTAACTGGAAACAGAAACAGTTATGAGTTTTCTTAATTGAAAAGCACTATGTAGATGGACTTCCAGTTTAAGCGTTTCGCCGCTTGGACGCGTCCCGTCTCGCTCTGATGGGGACGCGCCATGACCCTGCTGACGGGAGAGGTCAGAGTTCGTCCCAGACCTCCCCGGGGTCTCTGTAGGAGACCCTCAGCCTGGGGAGCTGGGGAGAGCCTCTTCCAAGGTGACGGCCAAGGAATTGAGGCTCACCTTATCCCCAAAAGGTACCGTTGCCGCGGAGCCAATATGGCGCTTAGAGACAACTGTCGGAGCAAGCAACCACGATCAAAACTTTAAAATGCTTCCAAAAGATCTCCAGGTCTCCAAACTGTGAGTTAAGCAAAGCTCAGGTGAAAAAGCGAACTGACCTTGGTTGTAATTCAAAGCGCGTAAGTTTGAAGCATGGAGGGAGAGGGACCAAGCCTCCCCCTTTTTTGTGAAAAAGATTTAAAAGTGGTTTTAAATCGGAAATTAAAAGACTTAAAGCTAAAATAAGCGCATAAGAAGTTAAAAAACTGCCAAAATATACAAAGCGGATTTAAATCGCATAACTTTTGTCTTGTTCTGGGAAACTTACTTCTTGTTGATATTATGGCTGGGAGAGGACGGAGGGTGCCGGAGAAAAAACTGGTGACTGGAAATAACATACCAACGACTCCTTCCCAGAACCAGGAAGTAACTACAGACTTTTCTTCACTGTTAGCAAATGCACTGCGCCCCCTAATGGAACAGATGACTAACCTCAACACCAAGAAGAATGAGGACTTAAAAGAACTGTTGGCGGAGGCTTTGGCCCCATTAATGGATTACAAACAGGAAGACCATGTGAAAGAGATGGATATAGCCTACAGGATCTACCCAGACTTAATAAAAAAGAATAAACTCCCAGGGGAAACCTATCTAAAATTCACGAAACGATCTACCAGAGAACTGGTGCTAAAATCTACAATGGGAAAATCTTTAAAAATTAAGAATGAAGAGATAAAAATACTAAAAGACATTCCCTTTGACATTAGAAAACAGCGGAAACTATACAGGATGCTTACTCTCACTCTGCAAAAAAAGGGAGTACCATATAGATGGTTATTCCTGGAAGGACTGAGTTTTAATTACTTGGATAAAAAATATAAAATTGATTCTGTTCCAAAAGCTGAAAAATTTATGGATCAAATGTTTAATCCAAAATATAAAAAGAAAGAAAAGAACTCTAAACCGGAGCAGGATGATGATGATGAAGAAGAATCCTACTCACAGGATTCAAAAAGCACTACTTCCACATCACCAGAATCATCAGAATCGGAGAAAGGAGCAGCCGCCCCTAAACCCAAGAAAACGAAGAAACGCAGGAAGAAAAGACTCTAGAACAAGAACAATAGTTCTTAAAGACAGAATTTGTGCTATTAAATGCATACTCTTAAAGCAATACTGCAATGAATTAAATTGTACACCAAACTTGTAATATTAGGTTAATAAGCCTTATTTTTAGCTAATAAGACTGTGATATGTATTAGCTCTCCTTTCCCCAAACCAATAGATGATATAGTTTAGAATAGTGGTCCCCTTTCCACACCAAGTAGTTTCTATGTATTAGTCTATCCTTTTCCCATTTCCCATAGTTATAGTGATAGGGTATAGTTTCCTTTCCCCTCTTTAGTTGTAGTTTTTTGTAGTTTATAGAAAATGCAAATTTAAAAATCCCCTTCGGGGGGCAAAAAAAAGAAAAAGAACAGCACTGTGTAAATGGCATAAATAATAACATATTTCACAGAACTGTGACAGCAGTCCAACGTAACATAAAATCGGATAAAGAAAATCAAACCATTCAAGACCCCCATGAAAACCAGTTTAAACTTTCTAACAATTTTACATTATTTTTTACATTGCAGAACAGTGCAGCTGCATTCTTTTGCTACAGAAAAACAAACAAAAATCCTTTGATGTTTCAAAAATAACTATTTTGGCAGCATTTCCTAATAATGATTTTTATTTCTTTTTATTGTATGCATTTCAGAAATACAGTCTCAGAAGAACTCCAGATCCTGACATTATGAGAGAGACTCCAGTAAAGATTTCCACTAATACAAAATACCAAACTTCAGGGAAAACTGGAGACAATGCCATGAACATTTTAAGTTTTGGTACAACATCTTTTCAAATGAAATTCAACTGAATCATAAGAAATGTAGTGCTGTGTAGTCATTAGAATATCAATCTATGATTCAGGAGACCCACCATGAAGTTTACTGAGTAATTTGGGGCCACTCACTCTATCTCAGCCTCCACTTTCTAACAGAGTTGTTCTGAGGATAAAATGGAGGAGAAGATGATGAATGTCCATGAGCTTCAAGAAGACCAGGATAAAAATGTGATAGATAAATAAGATTGAAAGAAACATGATTACTTACAGCACTACTTAATGAACTGGGAAGAGAGGTCCAAGCAGGATTATAGACTATGCAGTAGTCCTTTTTAAATAGAGGATTGTCATTACTAAAAGCATGAAGGATTCCTTCTTGGGCACTTATCTAAAATAGAAAAGGAAATTTTCAACATTAGACATTGTTTAGACTATGGATAGCATAATGACCTTAACAAGACTAGTAGCATACCATTAAGAACTGAGATTAGGGAAATTTCATTAGTTAATTTCTTGCCACACTATTTTTTATACAGAACAACTTCAGTATAAGGAAATTAATTGCAAAGAATTTCACACAATTCAGGTGTTTCCAAACTATCCAGAAAGCGAGTAGAACTTTGGAACATGTTCTAAGCATCCCTTTTGCCACCACTTTCTGTTCCTAACTGCCCCCTCCCAAAGCCAGTCTTCCCCGCTGCATCCTAAAATGTGTTTATTCCTCCGCTTCTCAGGGCTGATTTAGTTTTTCTGCAGCTGAGCTTGAAACTCCTTGATTAGACACAAATATTCCTACAACTGTTGTGGAATTCCCATAAATCACTCTTCCTGGCCCTTCTTCTACCTCTCCTGTTATTAATGACGAGTCTCTGAGAGAGTTCGTAACAGCATTTGTTAATCAGCTTCACCCATGATATGCTAGATTTCTTTCTGCAGAAACAAATGCCTCTTCCCTGTTCCTGCACCATTTTTATTCAAGATGCCACATTCAATTCATTGGTGCATTTGCTGAGTGCACAGGTGCACCAATGCAGAAGTTCAACATCTGTTATGAAAAAAGCAAATGAACAAACCAAGTCCACAGCTGTGGGAGAAAGAAGCCCACGTATGGGAAATGTGTTACAATGAGTACCAGGAAAGTAAGGGACAAAATTTTAAATGAAGTTCAGCAAGAGACTGGAGTCATGCATCATTTAGGGATGCAACCTTCTTAACTAGGGAGCCTTTCCAGATTTGCAACAAGTACAAATTATTTAAGTACTGTAAAAGCTGATACAGGCTCCAGAAGTGATTTTAAAATGTCATTATTCCTGAAACATTAAAAACAAATCTGCCTAGTCGGGAAATCACTCAGCAGTTATGACCCAACTGGACACACAATATGGAGGCATTTTAAAAATTGTCTTGGGGGGGTGTCAAATCACAGCTGATTTGTGGTGATCCCACGGCATTTTCAAGGCAAGAGAAGAAGAGATTGGATTTATACCCGCCCTTCACTACCCGAAGGAGTCTCAGAGCGGCTTACAATCTCTTTTCCCTTCCCCTCCCCACAACAGACACCCTGTGAGGTAGGTGGAGCTGGGAGAGCTCTTTCAAGGACTGCTCGTGAGAACAGATCTGAAATAACTTGTGACTGATCCAAGGTCACACCAGCAGCTGCATGTGAAGGAGTGGGGAATCAAATCTGGTTCTCCCAAATTAGAGCCCGCGCTCCTAATCACTACAGCAAACTGACTCTCCAAAGTGGTTTGCCATTGCCTGCCTCTGCGTTATGGCCCTGGTATTCCTTCCAAATACTGACCAGGGCCAACCCTGCTTAGCTTTCAAGATCTGATGAAACTGTCTTACATTTCAGAATAAATTTCATACTGAAATATTAATTAATATTAACTAATATTAATTTCATAAAGTTAGTTGGTGTTTAGAACAAGACCACAATCTATGTCTACTGTGTGCATTTATATTTAGGACTCTCTCCTAAGCATAATGATCTGCAAGTAGGTCTCACTGAATTACTAAGCATGATTAAGTTCAGATAGTAAGATATAAAAATACATTACAGTTATATCCTGTACCTTGCCTTGTTTTGTCAGTGAATCAGCCAAGGTGATTTAACAAAGTGTACAATGGACCGCATTAATGGGGGGAGGGTTAGGGAACACCCTGTATCCATTTTGTCTTTTTTTGCTTCTCTGGCCAACACCGGCTCCCTGCCTACTCTTTCTTCAGCTTTCAGTTCTACCAATCAGATACAAATAAAAATAAACGAGCCTCAAAAGATCAAATATTAACTTAGATAGAATCTGAGTCCAACAGATACAGTATGGTTAGAGTGCACTCGGAGTCAGAAGAGTAGCTTCCTGATCAGCTAGCCCTAAACTTCAGCGGTCTAGCATTTTAGTGTAATTGTTCTTTGTGCTGCAGTTCTGGAATAGATTAAAAGTTAGCTGCTCATGGGATAAACAAACAGGAAAGTACTCATCTAGCCACAAACAAGAATGGTACAATGCAAAAAAAGAAACATTTCCTCTCTGTGCTGAATTGGGATGGAGGGGATAAACTAGGGTTGGGGGATGCATCTCTCACAGTATACATCCCCCAGACCTAATTTCACCCCATTCTTGGATACTATGAATGATTCAGGAATCTGCCTCCTTTGCAGATTATTAATTAGGACTGGATGAAGAGACAAAACTGTAACTCAGCAGCAGAGCATCTGCTTTGCGTACTGAAGGGCCCAGGGTCTGTTCCTGGCATCTCCAGTTACAACAACCAGGTAGCAGGTGAGGTGAAAGACCACTACCCTAGATAGCTACTACCAAAGAAGAGAGTCCTCAACTGTGTTCCAGAAGCACATTTCCTCACATCCTAATAAATCCCCCTGCATTCCATTTCAGAATGGTCAGAGCATATAAAATGTATAGCATCCGAATCTGGCAAGGAATTGTATAGTATTTCTATGTATATGTGGAATTGTATAACAATTAACTTTCACACATGCTAAATAATGTAGTTTCAATCAACTCCAGCAACCGTTTGCACGTGGATTTTGCCATTTCACACAGTAAAATCCAGTTGCAAAGTGCATTGAAAGTGGATAGAAAGTGTGTTATTTAGTGTGTTAGGAGACCCAGCTAAGCTCTGAGCAGGAGCAGGAGGCAGAGGTGCTAGAGGGTGAGTGTTTTTTTACTTGCTTTCAGCTGAGGGGATTCAGCTGAGGATATTGTGCGGGAGAACTGGTCTGGGAGGGTGTGAAAGGGCTTAGAGTTGTTGCAGAGTCCTGGCTGCTTGAGAGAGGGAGAGGAAGGGGCATTGTTTGACCGTGATTGACTGTACTTTAGTATTTAAGAAACCACTTTGACAGAGGCACGAGTCTCTGGCACGAGCCGAAGGGGGAGCTAAAGGGCTCTTTGCCTGTGGCTCTTCGCCTAGGGGCTCTGTGAGATGCCCAAGAAGAGCTAGAAAGCGAAGGCCCTAGGCTCTTTGTCTTCCCCATAAAGTAATTTGACTTCGACAAGAAAAACCACATAAATACAAAATGGTTTTAAAAGGGGGATTATATTTACTTATTTTAAAAAGAATTATGAAGCCAGAATGCCAGCAGGGGGTTGGGGGCTATCCAGTGTTTTGCACGGAGTGTCACATGTATGACTATCTGCCCAATGGACAGAAGTCTTGGGTGTGTGCTCGGTGCAAGGAGCTCCTGGTTCTCAGGGAACGTGTGTGCTCCCTTGAGGCCAAGGTGGCTGACCTGGAGAAGCAGAGACAGTCAGTTAGGCGCACAGAAAAGACTCTCGGGGACTTGTTAGATACGTCCCACTCTGGATCTGGCAGCCCCGCTGCTGTCAGGGAGCATGAGGGTCTAGGGGTAACAGGGCACCGTGCTGAGGATAAGGGGAATGTGCCCTCAGAAGGGACCTCTTCCCCAGCTGGTGAGCGGGTATCCTTTTGCACCAAGGAACCATCCCTGGGCAGGGTGGGAGGGGGGCTCTTGCTAGTGGGTGATTCGATCCTTAGGCAGGTAGATAGCTGGGTGGCGAACCCGCGTACTGACCGTATGGTGACTTGCCTGCCTGGTGCAAAGGTAGCGGACATTACGCGTGTTTTAGATAGGCTGGTAGATAGTGCTGGGGAGGAGCCAGTGGTCGTGGTGCATGTCGGCACCAACGATGTGGGGAAATGCAGTCGTGAGGTCCTGGAGGAGAAATTTAGGCTGCTGGGCAGGAAACATAGGTCCAGGACCTCCAAGGTAGCCTTCTCAGAAGTGCTACCTGTTCCACGCGCAGGGCCGGAGAGACAGGCACAGATCAGGAGTCTCAATGCATGGATGAG